AACACTTCTCAGGGACAACCCCCGGTGTCCAATCTTTCAGCTTCTTTGAGCCACAATGAGTGAAGATGAATTGTCTTGGGCTGTGTATGAAATATAGTTAATGTATGTAAGTAGCAAAACTTCCATTCTAAAAAATACTTTTCTTACAATACTAACATGAAATAACAAAACTGTGGGCCTTAGTGGTCTATTCCCCGGACTTACTTTCTACTTCCCTTCAGCACCAGGAATATCACGGGTCATGTACAACTTCCAAAGGGTACTATTTGAGCTTGTTGTATCGCTGAAATCTTCCAATTTAAAAATCCATTCTTTGACCAGAAATTCTGTACTCTTTTTTTTTTTAGCTCTCTTCCTCATTATACCTTTCATCTAACCTCAGACTACCACTCCCTCTCCACATCTGAGTAATTTCAGCAATTGGCTCTGCCTATCACAATTTAATTAGCAATATCTTCTTTGTACTTAATGGTAAAAAATGATGTCCACTGCAACTGATGGCATCACAGACACAACGAAGTATTTTATATTCGTTGACCACACCCACTCTTCGAAGTCAACTTCCACCTAATTTCCTAGTTTAAACAGATTCTTTCCACGCAAACTGCTTCTCTTTTGACAGTCTTAGAGATGCGCTATATGACATTTCTACTTTGATTATCTCATAAGCCTTTTTCATCTTCATAGGGCCAAAACCCAACTTCATATTCTCTCCTGCTTATCCTGCTCTTCTTCTCAAAATGACAGCTCCATTCTTCTGGGTCGCTGGACTGGCGACCTTGGCAGCATCCTTCATTGTTTACGCTATGCAGCCAGTCCAGGAGAAAATCCCACAGATTTTAGTTTTAAAATATGTACTTAAAATTCAAATGTTTCCCATTATTTGGGCCATTAACACCATCTTTTCCTGTCTGGACTGTTACCCAACTTCCTAAGTTACCTCCCTGCTTCTTACCTTACATACCTCATTCTCTTCCCACTGCTCAAAACCCTCCCTGGCCTCTCCAATGTGTTCAGAATAAAATTCCAAGACTCAGCTAGGAGCAGTGGTAAACACCCGCAATCCCAGCACTGAGAAAGGTTCAGGTAGGAGGACTGTAAGTGTAAGTCCCACTTAGGAACCTTGATATCCAGTCTTGAAAAACAAAATGCCTGTTCAGTATGTGAAGGCCCCGGGTTTAATCCCCAGTTTGCGGGAAAAAGTCTACACTAGCCCAAGTGATCCTCCATGATTTACCGCATCCTCAACTATACTTCTGCCTTTATCTTCCTTCTCCCTCATTCACTTACTCAGTCTCCTTAGCTTCTCAAAAACGTCCAGCAAGCTTAACCTAGAACGTTGGTTCTTGGAGCTCCCTTACTTCCCTATATCCTTCTCATTTCTCCTCAGTGAAGCTTTCTCTGCTTTTTCTATAGAAAATATCATTCCCTCCCTTATTGTTTCATTCTTCTTATAGCACTTATCACGTCTTACATAGTATACATTCATTATGTTTCCTAGAATGCAGGTTCCAGAAGAGTAGATTTAATTTTATTACTGTAGCTGCAGCACCTAATAGAGCATGACACATGATAAAAACTCAGTAACCTCAAGTTTCACAAAGGAAAAAACAAAGAAAAAAATATATAATTCCCTATACTCATTACTAACAGTACTATCCTTTCAAGTTACTCATAGCACTACTCTAGATGGCTCCTTCCTCCTAGTGAGAACTGCATCTCTTTTTTTTTTTAAGTAACTTCTTTCCATTTTTTGCAATTTTTCATTTTCAAGCCAACATAATCTTCTAACTCATTTCTTGCTATCTTGACCCCTACACATCATTCCCCTACATAGCCAGAATGAAGTCTCTGAGTATAAATGTGATCAATCACTTTCTTAAAAATCTTTTAATAATTCCCATCATGCAACAATAAAGTAACACTTGCAAACCATGGCATCCATATATATTTGACAGAAAAAAATATTCCCATTCCCAGAATATGAATAGAAATATGTTTTGCCTATGTAAGGTGGACTGGAAATTTCCTATTATCCAAGATGGTAATTAGGTAGGCCTAATTAAGAAGGAAGGTGGGCCCATTAAGAATAAAGCCAACAAAGAGTTGAAAAGCAGAACTGGGAGGAAAAATAATCTTGGCAATAACTTTTACATATGTGGACTTGATGGTGGATGAAACAACTGTAAGCCCTACACATCTTAATCATATGAATTTATATATTTCCACTGGTTAAGTCTGTTGCTGAGTACAGTTTCCATTATTTTCAACTGAATGAATTCTGACTTACACAAAATCTACTCCTCCCGTCCACTGTTCCAGCCACATGTTCTCATCATTTACCCTCCAGCTTTCTCCAAGTATTGTGCACTTCTGCAACTATTTTCCAGTCTTCAGAGTAGTATTATGTTATACTAAACGATGACTCTGCATATTTGTATATTCTGCTCCCTGTGTAGAACGTTCTCTCTTTTATTTGAGAGTATTCACTGGGTCAATTAGGTGCGGGACATACAAAGGTGTTTCTACTCTCACGGAACTTAGATCACAACAGAGGACAAACTAGTAGACTAGGTAGCTACAATACAATGTGACTAAATACTGTGATAAAACAAAGTACTTGGGATTTAATCAGTGGATTCCTTGAAGAAATATTTATTACTTGATAAAATAGCTAGAATTTGCTACACATCAGCCGGGTGTGGTGGCGTAGGCCCGTGATCTCAGCACTTGGGAGGCTAAGGCAGGAGGACTGGTGTGAGTTCGAGGCCAGCATGGGCTAATGAGTGAGTTCAAGGCCAGCCTAAACTATACATAATGAACGCTGTCTCAAAAAACAAACAATAAAAATAATTCGCTACAAATGAAGGGAAGGAAGAAAAGTATTTCAGAGAATAGGAATAGTATATGCTGCTCCATGGCTCAAAGTTTGGCAACTGAACATCATTCTGTATCACGCTGTCTCACTGATAACATCATGTTTTCAATTGCAGTTCTCCGGGTGTGTGTCTTCTTCTGCATTATATTATACTTGCAGGAAAGATAAACATTTCCATTTCTGCTTATCTTTCTACATTACCCTCTTCACTTGAATTCTTGCAATGCTGAACAGACCTAAAATATTTCCTATTGATCTTTTCACTGACAGGTCTTGTTTGCTATTTAGATTCTTCGAATAACGTAAATGTGGTAAAATGAAATTTATAAACATCATCTGTAACTTACCGTTCTCTTTCTCCAGTTTCTATTAACTTTTGGTTAATCGCTGCTCTCATCTGCGCATCTTTGTTCATCTTGCTAACCTGGACATCAACATGTATTTTCAGAGATAAAACACTTAAACATTTTCTTCTAAATCTAGGCAAACATCCTAACAGGTTTAACATTCTATCAACTGAAGGGCTGGTAAATTTCAAGAGTGGTAATGATATCCTCATTATCTATTACATCGCAACAAGTCTTACACATGTACTCCCTATACAATTTCCTTTCCCCATATGCCTTTTACTAATGAATTTTCAGATAACTGTTATTGCAACATTAAACATTTAACTGCCTGATGCTCAGATAAATCTTTGTCGGTTTTTTTTTTTAAATTATATTTAATTTCCCAAACTTCTACGTATTACTAACATAATTTGCATTTTACATATGAGGAAACTGAGGCACAGAGATAGAAAATAAAGGCAGAATTTGAATTCAGGTACTTTGATTCCAGTAGCCCCTGCCCATAACTGAATGCTGATCATTTCTGCACTTTAACTGCATTCAAAATTTGGGGAAGTATAACCTACTCGTCCAAGTAAGATTAAACACTACTAGTGAAAAATGAAATCACCGGGCAAATGTTTGACTCTTCAGGAGAATATACTCAGAATTTCACCTGCTACGCTCACACCTGCAAGTGTGTGTGTGTGTGTGTGTGTATTATTAAGCACACATATTGCTGGCGGGATAAGGAGAAAACAAATCGCGAACTAATTCTTAGGAAATTCTCAACTTTCTGTAAAAATTGAGAACCCAATCCAGAATGGTGTAGAAACGCGAGGAAAGTTCAGTTCTGCGCGCATCTGAGCCACTGGAAAGTTTAAATAAATAATTCCTGGAATAAACTACTGTCCCTAACTTGGATCCTTTCGTTTTCTCCTCCACCTGCAAACTCCGAGCGGCAGGAAGTTTTCAGAGTCGGAATGATTTTTTTCCTCCCTGGGGAACAAGGATGGAGCGAGAACTAGGAGACGTCGGCGTCTGCAGTCGGCGGCGAGGCTTTCGACAGTAACGACCAAGTCTGCTCAGCGCGACCCTGAACTTGTGCGCGCCGCGGCCCCCAGAACGCGGAGAGTGACCTTGGCCAAGTCACTTGCGAGAGGCCTCAGTTTGCTCACGGGTAAAACGCGGGCGCTAGGGGATGCCTCCCAGCTCCGACTTTCGGGAGCACGGAACAGGGCGGGCACTGCTGGAGAGGCGGGCGGGGAGGAGCCAGAAAACAAAGCGAGGACTGGCTGCAGGCCAGCTCCAGCAGCACGCCCAGTCGGAGAGCCCTACAGGCCCGCGAGCGCGGGTCGGGGACGCTAACGAAAGACAGCACATCGAAAGGAGCCTGGGCCGGGCCCGGGTCCCGGCCCTGAGGACCACGGGCATAGCTCACCACCATCACCGCGGGCGAGGGCCGTCCCTTCCCAGCGACGAAATGACCCTTGCGCTGGCGACCGTTACCTACCACACTCTTCCGGCTGCCCGGACTTAGACCCTCAGTAGCTCGGGCACCTAAGCACACAGAAAGCTAGAACACGCATTTCCGGGGCGGGGTCTCGCCACCCTGCCTATAATGTGAGAATTTAACTAAGCGCGGGCCGCCTCCTGGCCGCTCAGCCCTCTGGGTAAGAGAGTCCAGACCCTGCCAACGCGTTGACTTTAAGTCCTCACAAAACTACATCACCCAGCATGCAACGCGGTACACTTTGTCACAGACACTACATTTCCCAGAAGGCATTTTGGAGCGCAGTGCTTTCTGGGATGGGAACCACGCGGCTTCGTAGATTTAGGCGGAGGAGTGAGGCGCGGACCTTTTAACCGGAGGTTTATTAGTTCTCACACTAGGATCTTGGAAGGTGATGGAGGTGGCAGCTAATTGCTCTCTGCGGGTGAAGAGACCTCTGTTGGACCCCCGCTTCGAGGGTTACAAGCTCTCCCTCGAGCCGCTGCCCTGTTACCAGCTGGAGCTTGATGCAGGTGGGAAGCGGCGGCGCCCCCTCTCACTCGGTTCCTTTCCCCCTGTGGCTGCCGTCGCCCCCAACCTTCCCGCTTTTTCTTTCTGTGGCTGCCGGGCCAGGTAACACTGCCTCCCTCCCGGCCCTGCCGCCCAGCTGCAGCGTGGTGGCTGTCGCAGAGCCCCGCGGGAGCTGTTTGGCGCCAGGACCCTGCCCCGGCTCTGGGCTCGAGGTCGGGCGCGCCGGCCGCCTCTCCACCCCGGCCCGACCCTGTTCCCGGCCGGGCGCGGGACGGTCAGATCCCCGTGTGCAGACGTGTTCCCCGAGAAGCCACGCCTCCCTGGAAAATCCCCAACTCTGGTTTCCTCTGACGCAGAGCCATTTCTTAGGGCAGAAGCTACGTTGTGGACAAAGATTTTTCAATTACACAGGTCCTGTTACCCTAAGGACTCTGTCGTCCAGAGAATCGCTGGAAATTTTTGAAGAACTGGTGATTTAGTAACCACGCCGCTGCGACTTGCTTCTGCATTTTCGTTAAAAATGATGATGAGAGCCCAGAGCTCTGACTTTTTAAAATACATTCCCTACTGATGTGCATGTTGTCAGTGCGTCACATTTTGAGAAATACTGATCTGTGGTTCATTAGGAGACTTTAGAGTATCAAGCGAGTGTTTATTCTTTGATTAAATTTAAAAAAATATCACTGGCCGTTTTGTGTACCATGATATCGAAATGGATAAAACACAGACTATAAGTGCATGACAGCTATTGCCTGGTGAGGAAGTGTCTAATTATAAAATAACGTGGGAAAGCGGTGATAGAGCAGTGTACAAAATACAGTGGTACTATTGAGTGACTTTCTGAACCAGCTTTTGGAGCAGGGAAGGCTTCCTGGAGAAGTTGATATCTTAGCTGAGCTTTAAAGAACAGACAGGACATGAATATGAGAGAATGGACTTGTCTTTCCATTTTCTTTTCCCTCTTTTGCACCGTGCTTGCTTTTTTCAGTCTTCTTTTGTCAGTAAATGATACTTCCGTGTTGAGTTAGCTGATTCATTGAAGAGAAGGTGAGGGGCTGGGGATTTAGCTCAGCGGCAAAAGCGCCTGCCTGGCAAGCGCAAGGTATTGAGTTCGGTTCCCGGTACCGGAGAAAAACCGAAAAGAAGGTGAAACTCAGAATTCAGTGACTCAGGTGAAAAAGCACTTGCTCACAAATGTATGGAAAGCGAGGGTTCTAGTCCTGACTTGGCTCATTCACACGTTTGTCCACTTTGGGCGTGCTGGGCAACTCCGCTCATCCTGATTTCCTCCTGAGTTTGAGAGTTCCCTGGCTATAGGCTGGTTTATTTCTTCTAATCTTTGCTTTGCTCTCCTCTGCGTGGTCTCATGCTATAGCAGGATAGCTTAGGCTTTTCCGGGTGATAACAATGCCTAAGTACTTTTTTTCAGCGTGCTCCCTGCATCAAGTTTGCTGTTGTACTGTTGGCCAGTACAAATGAAATAATCAAACCTGGTCAGTTTGGGAAGGATGCTGGAAAGGCTGCACATCCAGGGAGGCATAGAAGTTGAGACTGTTGCTGCAAGTCTATGTAGTTGTTCATGTTGGAGTTGTCTTGAGTGTGTTTCTTTGTTGGTTCTACCCAGTTTTTTTTTAGCAAGTGCATTAAATGCCACATTTTGACTTCTTGCCTTCGCTCTAGTCATTTGCCTGAAATACAGTAGTCTCCTTGACTAGCCTTCCTGCCTCCTCTTTGGAGAACCTTCATGCCAGTATCTGTAAGACTAATTATTTTAGTTTTAATCTATATTTATATGGTGTGTATTTCTTCCACTAGACTGTGAGCTCCATGAAAACTGCATTATGTTTCTCTTTTACACACTACTGTTTGCTTAATCCTTGGCACATATAGTACTAGGTGCTCAATAACATGAGCTGAAAACATGGGAAAACATGAGCAGAGGGAAAGAGTAAGTCCTATGCAGGACACTATTAAAATCCTATATTGCAGGTGCAAAAAAAAAACCCCTGAAATATGAAAGGAGTGAAGGACCATTGGCTTTTTGGACTTCATCTGTGCGTCTCACAATTTTTAATAGGCTATTAAAATAAACTTCAATTGTCTACTTCTGCCAACTTTTTAATTTTCTAAATGGAAATGTTTCTCAAAAGCTATCATGTACTCATTTATCTTTTCATAAATAGATACTTTAACATAAAAAGTAAGAATTGAAATCTCACAATAAATACTTGTCTAAATTGAAAACCTTAACTTTTTTTTTTTCCTGTCTTTTCTTCCTGTACCAGGAATCAAACTCAGGACCTTGTGCTTGCCAGGCAGGCACTTTGCTGCTGAGCTAAATCCCTGGCCCCAAAACCTTAACTTTTATTAGAAACTCGCTAAGTTGCCCTCCGCTGCCCCCATTTCACGTATGTTGGTTTTAGATTCTGTGTCTGAAATAATTACGATTGGAGGCGATATGCTCTTTGTGGGTTTTAAGTATGCAGGTAAATGAACAGTGAAATACTTCACCTGCAGGCTTTGTAAAGGTTGAGTTTGGAAGATGAAAGGGTGGAAGCTTTTGTGGTAGTTCATATAGGGGGCTTTCATTAAGAATTATTTGAAATATTAGTGGAGGATGATTTTTAGTTGTTTGAAAAATTAATCATTACTAGAAATAATGTGTAATTGACGAGATCCTAACAATTTGATTTCTGTTATCCTCACCCAAAGTGTTCACTTTAGTTTAGCAAATGTTTTGTGCCTACCTCATGTATGAAACAGTATGTTTAAGGTATAAGAATGAAGACATGGTCTCTTGGTCAGAGAGCTCCAATAGAGGTTTAACCTCTTGTCTTAATATTATTAAATTGTCCCAGTGGGATCTGGTATGTAAACAGTAATTGTGTTTTCCTATTCCAAAAAACTTTTTCATAAAATTATAATTTCTCTTTAATCCAGCAATTCCATTTCTGGACATTTATCTTACAGACATCCTTTCCTTAGACTGTTCACTTAGTATGTCTTTGTATGTTTTCCTCTTAAATTTCACTTAACTAATGCATGCTTTATTCTTTTATATTGGTTTGCATATTACTTCCTCAGGGAATCTTTCTTGACTACCAAGTTAAAATGTATACCGTAAGGCTTGGTGTGGTGGCACATGCCTGTAATCCCAGCACTTAGAGGCTGAGGCAGGTGGATCCTTACAAGTTCAAGACCAGCCAGGTTTACGAAGTGAGCTCAAGGCCAACCTGAACTGCGTAGTGAGACCCTGTCTCAAAAAGACAAAAAAATAAATAAATAAAAATAAAACCTATACTGTAAAATCTGGGCAAGTTGGAATCCACCTTCTACTTTCCAGTACCTCACAGACTATCAAATTTTGTAGCATTCATTGTCTGTTTTCTCTGCCAAGACTGTTGGATGTGTATTGACGAGTTGTGGGTCCTTTTTTATGCTTTGTCTGCAGAGTTGGAGCATGCCTGGTGAGTAATGCATGATTTTGTGTCACAGACACGTTAAGTAGCTTTACTAAGATATAATTGACAATAAGCTACAGTTTAGCAAGTTTACCTATACGCCCTTGAAACCATCACCATAATCAAGATACTAAACTTAGTTGTCATCCTCTTGAATGTCCTTATGCTTTTCTGTAATCGTTCTTCTTTTCCTCCCACATTCTCTTCCCAAGAAACTACTGATCTACCTTATGCCACTCTGAATTAGTATGCATTTTCTAGAATTCTGTATACATAGAATCATATGCTAGGCACTTAATTTGGGTCTGGCTTTTTTTACTCAGTGTGATTACTTTGAAATTATCTTTGTTACATGAAGGATTGTTAAAATATCTGATTATAATTGTGAATTTCTCTGGTTTTCCTTATAGTTTTATCAGTTTTTGCATCATGTCTTGAAGTTCTTTTACTAGCTGTGTAAACATTATTTATTATCACCTCTTGGTAAGTTGACCATTCATCATAATGAAATGACCTTTATGTCTAGTAATATATTTTGCTTAGAAGTTTGTTGGATATTAATCACCTCAGCCTTTTTGATTAATTTTCCCATGGTGTATGCATATTTTTTCCATCTTTTTGCTTTCAGCCTATTTGTATATTTTTATTTGATATGCATTGCTTATGTAGAAATAATTAGGTCTTGCTTCTTTTTATCCAGTCTGACAATCAATCTCTATTAGACTGTTTACATTTAATGTGCTTATGATTGGTTTAGGTTTGGTATTTTGTTTATTCCACCTAGTCTTTGGGAGTTTGTAATTTTCCCACTTCTCTGGAGTTTTTTTTATATTGAAAAATTTTTACATTGAGTTTTCTTTCCTTTGTTGGCTTTTAGCTGTAGCTTTTTAGGCTTATAATATATATTCATAACTTATTACAGTATAGGAGAAATTCAAATGATAGTAGGCTATTTAATATGAAGCGTAAGAACCTTATGCTAGTGTATTTTGATTTATCTTCTGGCCCTTAAGCTGTTATTGTCGTACATTTTACTTTTACATGTTATTGGAAACTTCATAATATTTTGTTGCTATTTTTTATTAAATGATTGTCTTTTAAAGAGATTTAAATAGAAAAAAGTCTGTGTGTTTAGTCTTGTAGTTGCTATTCCTTTATATAGCTCCATATTTTATGCAATATAATTTTCCTTCTCCACAAATGACTTAATATTTTTATCATCTTCTGGTGATACATTCCTTCAGCTTTTGAAAGCATGTTTCTGAAAACATTTTTATTTTTCTTTGATTCTGAAAAGATATTTGTGCCATGCATAGACTCCTAGGTTGACAGGTTTTTCATTCTTGCTTGTCCTACAGTCTTCTTGCATATATTGTATGTGCTGGAAAGTCTGACACTATCCTGTCTTTGTTGGTCTATACATAGCATGCCTTTTCCTGTGGCTGTTTTAAGAGTTTTCTCTTTTACACTGGTTTTGAGCACTTTGATGATGTTATGCCTGAGTGGGTTTTAATGATTCTTGTAATTGGAATTTTTTGAGCTTATAAACTGAGTTGATAGTTATCATCAAATTTGCAAAAATTTTTGGTCATTATTTCTTCCAGTGCTTTTCCTCTCTGTTTTCTCCTTTGAAGACTCCATTTACCCTTTTTTGGGTTGCTAGAAGTTGGGTGCCTGTTTCAGTTTTCCCCTGTTTTTTTTTTTTTTTTTGTTTTATTTTGAATATTTTCCATGTTCATGTCTTTAATTTCCTTCATTTTACTCTTCTGCAGTGTTAATTTTATTAATTGCATCTAGTGTATTTTTATTTTAGATATATTTTGAATTTTTAGATAATTGAATTAAATCTTTTTTACATCTTTTATTCCCCTACTTATTTTGAATATTTGGAGTACTTTATGTGGTCTCTTTAGGCTATTTTTTCCTTTGAAGCAGAGAGAAGTTAAGTTGGTAAAGATTTAGGCGGTAGTTGGAATAAAGGAAGGAAAAGAACCATGTAGTCATTGTATTTATGTAGAGATTTCTGTAAAACTCGTATCTACTGCTACAAGGGAAAATATGGGGCAGACAGCCAGATGGACATATTTTAATCACTGTAGCATTGTATAAACAGTTTCATGAAGCAGTACTCCAGATGCTTGGCTTGCCCTGTTCCATAAGTCTTACTTCAGAACTCATTACACAAATTTCTATAGTACTTTTATGTTTTTCTACTTTCATACACAGATAGCAAACCAAATAAGTACAAGAAAAGGCTTTCTAGAAGATGACTGGTCCAAGAAGTGACCTATGTAAATTAACGTTCTTTGCTTTTCTCACTTGCCCTTTAAAAAAAAACAAAAAACCCACTAATGTACTTATAGAAATAGTAGATTGAATGTTGGCAATTTCGTGTGGTTCAATATAATAGTATATTTCAAGAGAACATAAAGCAGTAATGACTGTCGCTGTTAGCACCATTGGGTAGGAGTCAGGTCAGCCTCACTTGCCATTGCATATCCATTGTATACCCAAAGCCACGTGCAGTGTCTGGTACACAGTAGACATTGAAAAACTAACCTATGAGTGAAAAACTATAGGCCTCTGAGGCTCCTTGAAGCTTTGCTAATTTTTCTATGAAAAACTATTATTTGAGGTTTATAGGAATTTTGGATGATTAGGGGAGAATTCCTTGTGTGGCCCAAAATATTTTTTTTTATATAAAAGTAGTAAAAAAATAAGGATTTTTTAGCAAAGTTTGTTTCTAGGGAAACATATACTACACTCACTTTTCTGTAGAAGAGTTCCTCTTCAACCATTTCAGGGATCCAGATAGGAGCCTCCCTGCTCTCTACTCTCTTTCTTGGGAGGGTTTTACAAAAGAGCTCCACTAGTGGCTTAGCTTTGTCACATTCTGGATACTACATTTCTCCTTCCAGGTACTCTGGTTCTGTCCTTTGTACTCAAGATGATTGACAAGATAAATACAGCTTTTCATTTTTCATATAGGGCCAGAGAGCAGCCTTTTTCTACTAATAAGAGTTTTACAAAATAGTAACCATGTTATGTGTCATATCCTCACACTGTATCTTGTAAATTCTCTTGTTGAAATGCAGCAACTAAAACCCTGGTCTCCTAACAGTGGTTTTCCACTTCTAAATATGTTTGCAGACAAGGTATTGTAATAAGGCAAATGGCTAAGAAACCTCTGGCTTGTTTATAATTACCTAGGGCTCCTTGCCAAATATGAAGAAAATACATTTGTTATATTATTGTCTAACATCAGTACTTTAAGCTGTTATATTACCATGCACATTTCCTGCCTTACGAGTTTCATCCACACAGTGGTGCTAGCAAACCATTCCTAATCAGTAAAATACATATTTCTAGCCATTCCTTATAATATACACAGTTCTTTCTTTGAATTAAACAGGAGTTTCCTCAGCCTCTACCAAGTTGCTCATACAATTATGACTTTTACCTCTGAAGTGTTTGTAAACTGCAGTCATCTCTCACCTGGATAACTGCAGTAGTTTCCCAAGGCATCTGCCTAGATTTACCCCAGCTGCAGTACTTACGCTGTATGTGGCCACCATGACCTCCTTTAGTTCTTTGAACACAAGTTTTTCCTCCTACTTTTGCCTGGAATTAATAGAGGAGTGTATGTGGATGTGTAGGTATATTTTTTTCTTAAATTCTTCCTTATCTTTTGTATCCTGACTGCATCTTTGGAAAGTTTTCATTAATCTCCCCAAGTAAATTAGCTGTCTATATTATGTGTTCTTGTTGTGCCCATAATTTTTCTTTATAACATCACATTATAATAAAATTTTTTATACTAAAATTACATAAATTTATGTGATTATTTGACTAATGGATGAATTATATAATAGAGAGAAAAACATTTTTAAAGTATAAAAACACTTTCTAGGTTGGGCTTATTATTTGCCCAGAAGACGGTAAACTCATCATTATTTTTGAATTTCTGTTCTATTTATTCTTAATTTAAGAGGTTCCTAAAGAAAAGAGAGTTGAGTGAATCATATCATGACTTATCCTGAAGGCCTTTGTGATCAGCATTATATGATTTCTTTGCCTGGTACCCATTCTGTAAAAAGAAACAATCTGAGGTAAAACTCTTGATGACTGCATTTATTTTTTTGTATTTCAGCTGTGGCAGAAGTAAAACTTCGAGATGACCAATATACACTGGAACACATGCATGCTTTTGGGATGTATAATTACCTACACTGTGATTCATGGTATCAAGACAGTGTATACTACATTGATAACCTTGGAAGAATTATGAATTTAACAGTGATGCTGGTAAGAAAGTCATATAGTATAGTAATTTGTCCAGTTGTATTTGATCTTGAATTTTCTTTTTTGAATCTGATGTTCAGCAAACTAAGGTACATATACCATCAGTACATGGAATCCTATTATTTGTGTAAGGCTCCATTTCTGTTTAATTCAATTTTAATTGTTCCTCTGTACCTGGTACTTACTCTTTTTCTTTTTTTGAGATGATGTCTTCTTGTGTTATCCAGGCTGGTCTTAAACTCATGGCAATCCTCCTGCCTCAGCCTCCTGAGTGCTGGGATTACAGTCATGTGCCACCATGCCTGGCTGTTGCTGGTACTTAATCTTACATACAGTTAACTATTCCCACTATTGGGCAACCACTCTAGTGGAGTGTATATATTAATAACTGTTTAGATTTGCTTTTCCTTTGTGAGGTATTATCCTCAACTTTAATAACAGATTTGTCTATTTTTTTCCTTTTAGTTAATTTTTGCATTACATCTTTCTAAACTATATTAGTTGGGTGCAAACATTCAGGGTTGTTGATCCACCATGAATTGAATCCTTTTAGCATTATGAATTATTGTCCTATGTCTGTAGATTCCTAATAATTTTTGTCTTGAAATCCTTGTCTGATTGTCATTACTGTGTAGTCATTGCTGCCTTTTTAAACGTTGGCTTTGGTATCTTTTTCCTTTTTCTTTTTTCCATGCTCTTTATGTCTTTGGGTCTTGTTTTTTATTCAGTGTGAAAATCTTTGTCTTTTATTTCTTCATTACAATGTCCATATTTTTAAATATGTAGTTTTTGGAGAAGTGGGTGTTCATATGATGTGAAAAACAAAATCATGAAAAATATTTAGTGAGGTCTCTCTGATCTCTCCTGTCTTCAGTACTCATTTTCCCTGAAACTTCTTTGTTACTTCTTGTTTGGCCTTCCAGAGGTGATAAGAGGTTGTATTTGTTTTTTTTTTAAGTGCAAACACAGAGTGATGAATTTATATTTTAAAATATAAGCTTTTCAGTGTGGCACATACAATTCATAATGCTTTCTCTCCATCCTTGTCTTCCACCTTTTTGGATACTGTACTCTAGCAATTCCTGCAGCTCCTGAGATAGGTCCTGTAATTCTGTTGCCACTGGTCTTGTCTCACTTGCTTACCTCTACCTAGAGCATACTTTTAGTTCTGTCAGACTGCTTCCCAATCCTCACTTAAATTCCAAGTGACCATTTCTTTGTTTGGTAAGTTTGCCCTGACTTCCTTCTTTTGCTGTCACAGGGGTATTCATACTGTTGACAGATCTATGCGGGATGTGGACTCTCTGTGGTGAGGTTGCCAGACGTTTCTGTACAGGACCAGATATTTCAGTCATTACGAGCTAGTGCTTGTTGCAACTATTCACTTTTGTTGGCTTAATGGAAAACAGCAGTGGATGTTTACAAATGGGTGTGTGTGGCTGTGTTTCAATTAAAGCAGGTAACAGGCCAGAATTGACCTGCAGAATGTAGTTTGCTATCGGTCTTTCTTATATTTCTATAATTCTAGCACCCAGCAAAATGTTTATTTGATAAATAAATAATAAGTGTGTAAAACTTGTTCTTCCTCTTGGCTTTGCATTTTGACAGGCTCTTCCTACTATTCTAATCCAGGTGCAAGTATGAGTTCTGTATTGATGATGCAATGTTTATCTCAAAATGTTAGGGAAGAAATTTCTTGGTAATGATAAATCTCTTCTTCCAGGTGGCTCCGAACCTAAACAAGTCAGTGGACAAGTTCCGATAGTTTTTTACTGGAGCAGAGGTGGTGTAGACTGGCCTCTCGTTCTCTTACGTGTCACTTCCTTTTCCTTACCAGAGCTGGCCTCAACCTAGAATTGTAATAGAAACCCAGTGCACATAGGCCAGCTAAAGTAATGGGACGTGCTTGCTTATTGGTCGCTGTGCTCTGATCTGTCTGACCAGGTGATTTTGATATAGAGGTGTGTGTGTGTGCACACATGCGCACATGTGTGTAACTTCTTGTATAATATTTGCAACCAAACTTTATTCTCCCAGTTTTCTGATACAAGAAAGATTGCATGGTAAATCTGAAAGTCTTAACAATACCATATTCACAATTTTATTCTTAATTTTTTCATAGGTATCTTGTGGCACACATGATATAGTTCCAGAGGGTAAGGTTATTAGTAGAGAGGGTGGTAAACATATAAGTCATACTTGCCTAATTACAAATTAGTTTATTTTAACATATTTATTAAGAACCAAGTCTTTATAAGACATCATAATGTATACTCTGGTACTTACATGTTTCAGGTGCTAAGATAATATGTATGTACAGGTAACAGATTACATAGTAATGTATGTGAGCTATCAGAAAGGGTATAGTGGTCCCCACATATCTGTTACTTCAGTTTCCTCGTACAAAGTAAGGATGATGTTAAGATACCTATAAAGTTAAAAAGCAAGCAGTATGAAAATACTTGGAAAAATGGAAGCCATTATATAAATACGAAGACATGGCAATAGCATCAGCCACCTTGCAGTTGACAAAAGCGAGGGACAGGGATGTAAGTAGCTTTTAAGTCAACAGATGGCTGAGTCCAGGTTTGAACTGGTATGTTCCAGTGTGCCACTGATCTTTTATTACTGGTTAATAGAGACAGACAGTTTAGGAAGGTAAGTAGTATTATGTGATATCTTCAAGCAAGCCAAATATACCCTGGTTCTGACAAACAAATCTAGATTAAAGTTTTATTCTTAGTATTAACTTCTATATCTTCTCTCTAATCTTAAAATTAAACTGGGTTCACACGTAGTTGGTTATAACATGAAGTAAATACGGTATACAAAGGAAGATACGTTTGCTTAGTGGCATGTTGGTAAATGTAAATGTACCTGTTCTCGGGGTGGAAGGCAGAGGGCTGGTTGTAGAGTTTACCATTTTCCGTGGTGTTAAGTACTGTATTCCCACCATGCCTAATATCAAGGTACAGATTGCAGAATTCCTGAGTTGGAGTCAGTAAATTACTGTGTTTGTAAATGTGAGAACGCAAAGGGAAAAAGGAAAGAACGGGCACCTTTATCTCATTTGAACTTGATGAAGGAGTCAATCAGTTGAACAGGTTTGCTGATAGTACAGTGTCTCTAGTAGAATATTCAAACACTAGATATTTGATGATAGTAAGGAATTATTATTAGTGCTTTTAAGTAGGGTGATGATATTGGGGATTTTTTTTTCAAAGTCCTATTAGAGATACATACAGAAACACTTCAGATAGAAGGACTGAAATTTTCCTCATGTGAATATGCATGTGTGTGCCTATGTGGGAAACAAGATTGACCATAACCTTCTGATAATTATTGGAGCTGGTTGAAGAGTATATGTGGGTTTATTGTGCAGTATTTTTCTACCTGCTCTGGTATATGTTTAAAGTTTTTTACATTAAAATAGTGAAAATTTTAAAAATTACAAAGAAAATATCTATTGTCTATGTGGGCTTCTAGTTTCTTAAAGATACATGAGAGTATTTGTAGTTGTTATAGTGGGAACACATTAATGAAGTATTACTGTGGTAGACATTTTTGATATTGACAGAATTGTGTGCCCTAAATTCAAATGTTGAAGCCGTAATCCTCAGTGTGATGATAGTTGGAGATAGGGCTTTTAGGAGGTAAGAGTAATTAAATGAGATCATAAGAGTAAGGACCTAATTAACAAGGGCAGAGCCTTGTAAGAAGAGAGAGGTCCTCTCACTTCAACATACTGAGTAAAAGCTACACGAGAACTCGGTGACGAGGTGGTGTTTGCAAGCCAAGAGGAGAGCTTCCCCAACAGCGGACCCTATTTTACTTAAAGAACTATGAAAAATTTCCGTGAAGCTGCCCAATCTATAGTGCTTTGTTATGGCAGCTCTACCAGACTAATACAGGTAGATTTTGTTTTAGAGCTGGCCTTGCCGTGGATAATCTGTGAAGTCTGCCAGATCACTTCCTCTTTTTGGGCCCCTGTGTCTTCATGAGAAAATGAACTTGATCATGCTGTCTATGAGCTCTAAGCCCTACAAGATTGCTTGTAGTGGCATAAGCAGCAAGACCAGCTACCCCTTTTAAGCACCCCCTTAATTGCCTGTGTGTTTGTCATTTCTGTGTGGAATTTTTACAGAATGAATTCTCTGGCAAAAGCAGGTCTGACGATTGGGTAAGATTATCTCTAAGACTCATTCTAGTGCTTCATTATATTATTACATAAATCTTAAAGCATTCCAGAGAATGTGTTATTGTTTTGAATTTTCAATTATAATGGTCATTTTACTATTTCTTACGGAACTTACCATTCTACTAATTCTGACCTTTGAATTTGCTGGCAGACAAGCAAATGGGCTAAAAGCCATGGCTAACCTACAATGGGATTATATTTCTGAAATTATTATTTTGACTTTATATAAATTGTGAAACTGTTGTCAAACAATTGCTTAAAGTTTTTATGTCATGGTCTTTAGAGTAAGATGCTTAAATACAATGGGGAAGAATTTAAAAAATCAGAATGTCTTAAATAAAATTAAAGAAAAACTTAGAGTTGTTAATCTAGGCATTGTGTTTGCATTGTCTTTCTCATGACCCTGTTCATTTTGTGCAAAGGTGGTTCAGGCAACTTGAATCCAAGCGCCTCTTTTGCTCTTTATCCTCTGAATTTGGATGTATATAGGTTTTAGATGTTTCCACCATTATTTGTCATTGAAATCTCATTTCTTTCTTCCTTTTTCTCTTAAAAAAAGTTGGGTTGGGGATTTGGTTTTTTTTTTTTTAAATAAAATAGAAATATTTTGCTCTTGGAAGAGGAACATTTTCGGTAAAACCCAGTGCTAGTCTTAAATAAATATCTTGTTTCTTCTCCTTTAGGGGGAAAGCTTTGTTGGGTATCTTTCAGAAACTTATCTGACACCATTTTTATTTGTTCACTTTTACCAGTTTTTTTCGTTTCTTAGTATTTACTAAAAAAAAAAATCCACTTGAAACACTCA